TTAGGTCGGAAAATAATTTTAAGATCATTGAGTCCAACCATAAATTTAACACTGCCAGGTCCACCACTAAGCCATGTTCCTCAGCACCACATCTACATGCCCTTTAAATATCTCCAGGGATGGTGACTCAACCATGTCCCTGGGCAACATATTCTGTTGTTTAATGACCCTTGAAGAGATTTTTCCTACCACAGAATCTAAACCTCTCCTGGCACAACTTGAGGTCATTTATTCTATTTCTATTACCTATTAGTTGGGAGAAGACACCAACCCCTACCTCACTACAACCTCCTTTCAGGTAGTTGTAGAAAGCAATGAGGTCTCCCACCCAGCTCCTTTTCTCCAGACTAAACAACCCCAGTTCCCTCAGCTGCTCCTCATAAGACTTGTTCTCCAGATACTTCACCAGGTTTGTTGCCCTTCTCTAGACATGCTCCAGCACCTCAATGTCCTTGTAGTGAGGAGCCCAAAAATGAACACAGGATTCAAGAAGTAGCCTCACCTGTGCTGAGTACAGGGGGATGACTCTGGTCCTGCTGATCGCACCATTGCTGACACAAGCCAGCATGCTCTTGGCCTTCTTGGCCACCTGGGCACACTGCTGGCTCATGTTCAGCTGGCTGTCCACCAACACCCCCAGGTCCTTTTCCTCAAGCCTATAGTGTTACATGGGGTTGTTTTCACCTGTGCAGGACCCAGTACGTGGCCTTGTTGAACCTCATATAACTGGCCTTGGCTCATTGATCCAGCCTGTCCAGGTCCCTCTATAGAGCCTTCCTACCCTTAGGCAAATCAACACTCCTGCCCAGCTTGGTGTCATCTGGAAACTGACTGAGGGCGCACTTCACCCCTTCATTCAGGTAATTGATAAAGATATTAAAGAGAACTGGCCCCAGCGCTGAGCTCTGGGGAACATCACTCATGAGCAGCCACCAGCTGGATTTAACTCCCTACATGAAAACCCCTTGGGCCTGGCCATCCTGCCAGTTTTTCACCCAGCAAAGAGGGTTCCACTTGGTTTTGAAATATTGAATTCTCCACCCTGACATTACCAAGACAATAGAAGCCTGAGATTGGACACTTCAGAAAAAGTTCTCCACAGAGCTGATTTATGGTTCACCTAAACCAGGTGCAGAAGACTCCACTGGCTTTGCAACATGGATATGTGCATATGGATTAAAAAAACATACTTTGAAAATTATTGACAGGCTTTAAAAATCTGACCTTGTCTACCTAAACTCCACTTGAAACATTGATTTTAGGATCTTAATTTTCTCAACTTTTAAAAATTCTGGCACTGTTAAATTGGAAGAAAGGCAGTTTTGCCTTGTTCCTCTTCTGTTTTCATAGCTCTTCTGAGAGATTTGCCAGGATCAGAAGAGTTTTGATGAATTAAGTAGGGCTATTGGATTCACAACTAGTGGTCCAGTTCTTAACTATCAGGATAGGAGATGGTCCTGACATAGTGGTGATCTCACTGGGCAATCTCAGGATCCTGTGTGTTGCAGCAGAGCCTGTGAAGTAGGTCACAGATGAGTTGAACCCTGAACATATGCATGTTTCTGGCCTAAAGCTGTCACACACAAGTGCCAAGTATGAATTCAGATAGATGTTTTTCCTGCTGTCACAAACAGGCTTCATTCCAGGCATTGTTTTTCAGGCAGCCGTGACGCACTTTGATATATCAATAAAAGCAAAAAGAAACATCACCAACCCTAATAAGTTCCAGAAAAGTTACATAAACACATCTCACCTGTTGCTCCTGTCTCTGCACACACACTTCACTCACCCAAAGCATCTAATGTCAGGTTGATACTGGAAATATTGCACAGATAACTCAGAGAGCCAATGATCCTACCGGGTGAAGGGGAGACTGGAAAATGCTCAGAGTTAAGCCTGTTCCCTAAATCTGAATGTGCAAATTGAATGAAGTCAGAGTAATTTAATTCCATTGTCTCTAAATTAATTCACTGTAAGAGGACATAGTCTGAGGCTGACCAAGAGAAGGAGAACTATCAGTTCAACAGGTGTTATGGGGTAAACCAAAAAGAGATTGCTAAATCTTTTGAGTGTTGCCACATGGGGGTATATTACATGCTACACCCTTGTTACCCTTCAGCAGAAGTTCTGCAGCAGAGCACAGCTGCAGACAATTAAAGACACCACTGCCAGCATCTGACAGCAGAATGTCAGTGTCAAAATTCAATTTGAATTGATTAAATAAGGAATGGCAACACTTTTGTTTTATGGATGGCAGCACTTCAGTCGCTTTAGATGCTCCACTTTCAGAAATGAAATTCTTTCCCTCCCTGCTATGTCTGTTGGGGTGTTTTCAGTTGGATGGCAGTAATTTCTCCAGTCAATCAATTAAGCCAGGATTTGCCACTGTGTCTAAGAGCCAGCCACAAAAGAGCTGGTATGGTTCCCTGAAGCTTGGCCAAGAGGCTTCAGTGGGAACAAGACATCAGGCAGCTAAATCTCACTCCCACCACTGGCACAAGGTTTAATGGATGTTAGGGCAGCAAAAAAATCATGTTCTGCGGTGCTCAGCTCCTGCTCTCTCAGTGGCCCCATGCACACTGCCTTTCTGTCTGTGCCAAAAACTCAGGGGATCTGACAGCAGAGCCAGGGGAGGTACCTGTGCCAGCAAGCAGCTCTGTGCGGGGCGATGGCCGCAGCCTTTTGAAGCTGGCATCCTGCTCCAGAAACATGTTCATCTCCACAGGCTTCGTAGTGCTGCTCCACTTGAGTAGCTTCAGACATTGACTGGCCTCCCCTAAGTTAAATGGCGGTAAGTTACTCAGAGATATAAGATTTTACAGGTCTAGGCCTTAAATGCTGACTCCAGGCCAGATCTGCAGCAGGTATAAATCACTGCAGGTAATTTTCACCAGCTGAAGTTCTGGCCCTGAGCCCATGAGTCATGTTGTTATTTTTTCACATTGTAAATTCTTGCTGTTTCTTATTTATATTGCTTTAGCACTTTGGGGCACTTGTCAGGGGCCAGGACCCCATCGTTCTTGTCACCCCCTCAAAAAGAGATACCAAAGACCCTTCTTGCCCCAGAATGTTTTTCAATAACATGTAAGCCTGCTTGCAGTCATTCAGCTTTCTCTAAGTACACTGCTGCAATAAAGTTTTTCTTCTATCTTGCTACACATAAGAACACTAATTCTGTGCACGGGTTGATATTTTTGTATCTGTATATGATGTATATTACTAAGTGGAAATTTAAGCCTGGAATTTGTTGGAGCCAGAAGCAGTGTGGGACATGGTCTTTAGTAATTCAAATGAGAGGTCCAAAGTCTCTTTCTCCTTGATACCTGATTTGAGACATCAAAAAGAGAATTTCCACCTAAGCTCAATCTGAAGTGAGGGGAATTTTAACAGTGGCTGAATATCTCATTTCTTTTGTGTATTTAATTTGTATTTAATGATTGTTATATTACTTTTGTTTCAGTTGAAGTGTGTCATCCAGGTCTTCAGAGCTCTGGTTTGCATCTATGGTGTTGTTACTGCTTTTAATTTTTCTGGAAGGGGTTTAAAAGTAGTAAAAAAACCCCAAACAAACACAAACAAAAAACCCCTAGAAAAAAAACCCAAACAAAACAAAACAAAAAAAACACCCACAAAAACTCCCCTACAACCATTGAAGCATGACCTGAAGTGCCACATCTACACCTTTCTTGAATACCTCCAAAGATGGTGACTCAACCACCTCCCACCTCTCTTTCAGTATAGAAATTCTTCCTAATATCCCACCTACACCTCTTCTGCCACGACTTCTGGCCATTTCCTCTGGTCCTGTCATTGTTTACCTGGGAGATGGCCTGATGCAGGACCTGGACACACTGCTGGCTCATGTTCAGCTGGCTGTAGACAAGCACCCCCTGGTCCTTTTCTGCTGGGCAGCTTTCCAGCCACTGTTCCCCAAGCCTGTACCATTGCATGAGGTTGTTTTGACCCAAGTGCAGGACCTGGCACTTGACCTTATTGAACCTCATACAGTTGGCCTTGGTCCATCATCCAGCCTGTCCAGGTCCCTCTGTAGAGCCTTCCTACCTTCGAGCAGATCACTCCCATCCAATTTGGTGTCGTCTTCAAACTTACTGTAGGTGCACTCGATCCCCTCATCCAGATCACTGATGAAGATCTTGAACAAAACTGGCCTCAAAACTGAGCCCTCAGGGACACCACCGGTGACTGGGAACCAACTAGATTTGACCCTGTTTACCACAACTCCCTGGGCTCAGCCATCCAGCCAGTATTTTACCCAGGGAAGAGGACACTTGGCTATGCCATGATTCACTGGCTATTCCAGGAGAATGCTGTGGGAAACAGTGTCAAAGGTCTTACCAAAGTCCAGGTAGACAATGTCCACAGCCTTCCCCTCATCCAATAGGCAGGTCACATGGTCAAAGAAAGAGATGAGGTTGGTCAAGCAAGACCTCAGTTTCATAAACCCATGCTGGCTGGCCCTAATCCCCTGGCTGCCCTGCACTTCCTATGTGAGCTCTATCAAAATGAGCCTCTCCATGATGTTTCCCAGTACACGTGTGCATGTGCAGAAGCAGATCAGTAACTACTTCCTTCTGGATAATGTGGTGGCCTGATCTCAAGGTGTGGTGGCCTCAACAAACCAGAAAAATATGAAAGGTTGTATGTGTTTTATTGGTATATCATACTCACAAGCTTTCCGTCCATGATCTCTTTTACTGTGCTGTTTTTGATTGTTTGTTTTATTATTTGGTGGTAATCAGGAGAAGACATGGCACAACAGTTTGCAGTGTCCCCTTTTTCTACTGCAGGAAGAGCATCACCCTCAGGCAGATATTTCTGGGCTACTTTGTCATCAGATTGTGTAGGCACTGAAGAACAAATGAACAACAATTATATGGTTCTTGCCTTTTTTTCTAGATGCTACCGTGGCCATTGACAATGAGTGTTTCTAAATAGCTGTTATCGTGCCCTAATCACTTATTCATTGTGTTTTGACAAAGCTCTTGAAAGAGGCCTGGTGAAGGCTTTGAAGAAGCTGGATGACTATCTGAGAACCCCTCTGCCAGAGGAGATTGATGCAGACAGCACTGAAGAGGAGAAAGTGTCTAAACGCAAGTTTCTGGACGGGGATGACCTGACACTTGCTGACTGCAACCTTCTGCCCAAACTCCATGTTGTCAAGGTAGGAGATGTCATGTGATGGTCAAAGAAGCCTTATCTAGCAATGAAGTGCCCTGCTCTGACCTAAAGCCAACATGTATTTTGATAGTTGGACTTGATAATCTTAGAGATCTTTTCCAACCTTAATGATTCTGTGATTTCAGCAAGAAGCATCTTAAGTCCTAGAAGAGCAGAGTCTGAAACACACTTTTGCTCCTCAGGATTTCTTGTAGTTTAACTTAAGCAACTTGGTATTTACTATGTGGAGAAATTGTCCCATAGCTAATTATTGGCAAAGAAAATATTAAGATCTAGGTATCCCATCTCTATATTTTTACCCTGCTGCAAGTAATAGCATATTTCATATTAATTAGTTTCCATTATTCTTAAGAGAGATGTCAAAACTTCAGTCAGTTCCCACCCAGTTGTAACTTAAAAGCAGCAGTCCCTCTTTTTGGGGAATATTTGTTCCATCTGGTATTTCATGCAGAGAAGTTAACAAATCAAAGTCACTGCTGAGGTCCAGGATTTAAGACATTCAGTGGATGCTGGTCTAGTGCAAATGGTGTACATCATCTTGACTTCTCAATGTTGCATTTATTTAATTTATTGGATTATATGTTTCTTTAGAATAAAGCAAGTACCTGGCAGACGCTGGCCAGCAAGAAAGTTAGGAATTAAAGCCAAGTCATGCATCTAATTTGATGCCATGAGCCAAATCATAAACTGTGCCTGGGAGCTGACTGTACACATGCAATAAAAAAAACCAGAAGTGTGCATAAGTCACCAGGTAAGAAATGTGATAATATCCTCACAAGTTTATCTCTTTCTTTGGCTCATCTTCATTGGTGAAGTCAGGCAATGCAAAATGAGTATGTGGCCTCTTACTGGTTCCCATCTCATTGGAATGAAATAGAAGATGTCAAAAGAGAATTAAAATCTTTCTGAGACAAGCATAGTGTATTGCTTCAAAAAGCATTTTACAGATGGAAGAAAAAGAGTAAATTATTAAGTCTTTTTCATTTGAGGGAAGATGTGAGCTGGCAATTGTGAAAATCTTAAGTTACCCAGCAGGTTTTGTCTTCCCCCTCTGTATGTGAAGCATCACTGAAGGCAAGAACATTTAATTAAATGCAGTTTAGGACAGAATTTGGACTTGCAAATACCAAGTGGATCCTGGTAATAAAAACAAATCAGAGTCATTTCTGAGAACATGACTGTCCTAAGAAATCTGAGATGGAAAACAGCTCTACCACATGCTTTAAAAATAAAGGGGAACTCTGTGGCACATATGTATGTAATTTATGCCCAGGAACAATTTTATACTGTCAGAAAAATTAGAGATTGGAAGCACTCATTAAATCAACTAATCCATCCCTTCCTATCAGCTAGTTCATTCTGTCACCACAGGATTATTCTATGTGGTATATTCTTACAGGAAAACTGAAATATCCCAATCCAGCAAACTACTTAACTGAGCAACTAGTTTCAAGCACAGATTAGCCCCTTTGACTTCAATAGGACTATACAGGTGCTTAAAATTAAGTATGCACTTAACTGTTTTCCTGAATAAGAGCCTAAGTGTTTTTAGAGATCAAAATTTTCCCTTGATAGACAATTTCCTAGTCTAATAAGTCTTGAAATAGTCATTTTCTCCCCCAGTTTATCCTAATACTCCTGTTTCTAATGTCTGCTTGGTTTCTCAATCATGGTACCCACACCACCCTGAATGTTTCCTTTGCATGAACATCGTTATAGCCTTCCAACAGCTGTAACTGGTTACATCCTCTGCCACCATTGGCCAGGTCATATATACTATATACATATAAAAAATGGAAATACAATATAAATAAAATATTATATGATGTTAAAAACAACTAGAATGGTTAATACAATAATATGTTATATATAGTTGGTACTAATGCGTTTCCCTTAAATTTGTCTTGCTCTTTATGATTCAACTATCATCTCTTTATTGTGGCATCTCAACTTCAAGTGATATTCGTAAGATTGTAAAAAATTGCCTAAAAAATATGTTACAATTAATTAAATTCAGTTGCCATAAAAGCAGTAATTTAGTGACAGTAGCCAGGCCATTGATTTAGTGTCCTTAGGCCAGGTAACATCCTTGCAATATAGGGGGCAACAAACAGTCACTTTTCAGGCTTTTCTATTATAAACCCTTGAGTCTCCAAGTGTTTTTCTCCTTTGCTGTTAATTCACAGAGTCATAGAGTCTCACCACCCTCACAGTAAAGAATTCCTTCCTAATATCTAACCCAAAGCTGCCCTCTTTCAGTTTGAAACCATGACCCCTTGTCCTCTCACTACACTCACTCACTTGTCACTCACTCTCACTTGTCCTCCTTTTCCTAAAAAGGAATCTGGAAATATATCACCACCAAGATGCTTTTTTTCCCTCCTCTTATGTCTTTGGTTTAGATTGTTACAAAGAAATACCGGAACTTTGAGTTCCCAACAGAGATGATGGGGCTGTGGAGGTACCTGAAGAACGCCTATGCCAGGGATGAGTTCACCAACACCTGTGCAGCAGACAAAGAAATTGAACAAGCCTATGCAGACGTGGCCAAGCGACTCAGCAAGTCCTAACTGACCTCGGTGGTGGCTCAGTATCCCCCTTTACAGACTCTCTTCTTGTTGCCTTAAGATATACTTTATCATTATGCTGTCTGGTTGGCATCTCTATGACTTCAGCTGTTCAAGTGTATTGGTCAGGGACAAGTTTGCTTCTCCCTGGAGAAAACAGAAGGCAGCTCTTGTGTGGGGGGTGGAGACTCTTTGAAATCTGAACCTAAGATCTGGCTCAACTAGTATTAATGGCAATCAGTATTGGAAATGAGTTCACTCTATTAGTTTCTTGTTTCATGTTAGGGGTATATCACCACCTGTATTCCTTGGCTTTCAAAAATAGGAAATTAGCTGAAATTTCAAGTAAAAGAGTTAGAAACATATAAACACGTTATGTTATGTTATGTTATGTTATGTTATGTTATGTTATGTTATGTTATGTTGTTATGTTATTTCAAGGATGCTTTTTCTCCCAGTGCTGCTGAGATCCTTGAGGCAGGAGCAAAATATGAGAGAGAGGGAAGGGGGAAAAGGAGCTTGATCCTAAAGGAGAAAAACCACTAACAGTTATATTTTTTAAAACTCTCTGAATATTCTGTCTTAGCAGGCCCAAGAGTTTATAGGGTATTTATTTTTGACTTGGTGCAAGAGGGGGAAGCCTGAGTGAATATGTCAGACTTGCAGATGCTACTTTGCATAGAATTTGCATGATGCTGTTGGATCTGAATGTTTGGAGCGAAGGAGGGTGAATGAGCAATTGAGCAGGCAGCCCTTGGAAGAGTGGGGCTAGCACCAAAATGCCCAGTGGATCTGCTAGTTGGTAGAGACACACAGACACGATAATAATGGCAGCAGTTTATTGACTCCAGCAAAAAGGGGGAATTGGAACAGCTCACCAAACCACGTAGGTTATTGTCATCTTGACTGTATGGCTGCCAGTTCCTTTATAATTGCTGTCTTGGGAAACTTGGATAGATAGGAGAAAACTGACACTGCACACGAATTCCAGGCAGGGGAAGAGCTTCCTTCACGTTGGGCTCCAGATGGGTCACTTCAAAACACTCATCCTCTCACCCCAAGAGAAGTTTGCTCTGAGAGCCTCAAAGAAGCTAAAGCAGAGAGGGGTACATTTTCAGCCAGAAATGCAGCAAGTTTGCTAGCAGAAATCCATGCATGATGCCTTAGTCCTGCTCATCCAGGGTTTACCTATCTGGGTTATGCAATTCTTCATTAGGATTGTTTTGTAAAACTGATTATTTTCTTCTATCTGAAGTGTCTGCCTGACACAATCTGCTTTATACCAGTGATTATTTGCACATTACTTAGAGAAATTCAGAATGACAGCTCTTTTGCATGAAACTTATATACCCTGATATGTACAAGAGATGCACAGGGCTCTCGATTTTCAGTTTGGAGGCATTTATCATTGTTTTCAAAGGTAAAATAAAGCTGAGCTGTAACCTGATGTGGCTCCCCTTCTGATCAGAGCTGTTAGGGTTGCACTGATTTGAAGGGAACCCTGAGCTGGTGAGTTGTGACCATGGGGAACCTCACAGCAGGCTTGTTTGCAGCCAGAGAGCTGGGGGCAGGAGACAGCATTGAAAGGCAGCCTCTGCCGTGTGATGCTGATGACAATCTGAAGCTGTCCTGTTGCTGTGGTGGGATTATTCCACTTTTCACACTAACCCAGCTGGGAGCAGAATGTTGCTCATCAACTGCGAAGATAGTTTGTGGTTTGCCTATTGTTTCACATGCAATGGTCAATTTGTCCAGAAGTTTCCAAAACCTTGGAAGAAAATCCATGGACTCTCAATTCTTCCCCTAGAACAGGCTATTTTAACAACAGCTAGACTAGAGGACATAGGCTCATGCTCTTTAAAATATTGCTGAGAAATCAGCTGGCTCAGAGAACACTAATAGCAGCCAGAAAAATCTAATGAGATTAGAAGTGTCTGCACAAGCACATGTGGCTTGTTAAAAAATATTTCTTCATGAGATTGGAATTATTTGTGATTTTTTTCTTTTTAAATTAATCGATTTATTTATTTATTTCAATTGACTTGGTCCTTTGCATCTCTCTGGTGGTGTTTTCAGTCAGCACATTGGTCAAGATGGCTCTGTCTGTTGGAGAAGTGTTCTTAGCAATGCCCAGCAAATTCATTTCTAGTGAAAAGTCTTCTATATGAGTAATGGTAGAAAAATGGCTTTTTCTACTTCCAGCATGATTTGGTTAGGAGCATGCTGACCAACAGAATCTACATTTTGCTCAGTTGCCTTTTTCCAGGTTTGTACTTCAATTAGTAGCTTTGCTTAATCACAGTTGCAGTGAATCTCTGAATGAAGATGCAGAAGCAGATGCAGGTTCTCACTCTGTGCTTATTTAGCTCCTTACAGAAAATTGTCCAAACATGCAGCAGATTTCTCAGGCAGGGTAAGTGAACCAGCTCAGGGTCTGACCTGATTTCTGCCTCTGTCAATCCTCATCAGTTTCCTGAATCCTATGGTTCTGAAATGTTCTAATATGTCTTTTCTCAGTTTTGCTAGGAGAGGGCCAAATAACAGTCAGTTGATCTCAGTAACCTAAAATGCATCTGTTTTGGTTTTTTTAAAAATATTTTTATAAATGCTAGGGCTTAGATAAAAAATAAAAGGAGGTGTTAGTGCATTAAGCTTTTTCTGAGATGATTTGCATGTTCTTAAAATCTCTTTAGGATTTAATTATAAAACCTGAAAATCCCTAAGCTACCTTCCTTTTACTTAATAATTAAAAATCCTTAAATATCCTTATTTTTCTAACAATACCTCCCAGAATTCTAGATAAAATTTATTGATGGTTATGAGAAAGAATAAAAGGAAAAATAAACACTTTTCAGCTCCTGTGCCAGATTTGTGTGAATTCAAGTCTTACTCTGCATCCTAACTTTGCGTTTTACTCAGACCTCTATTATAGGTTGATCCAAGATTGTGGACAGGTTCAGGCATTCCCCAACCTTTGTTTGAGTTTGAAATCGAAGCTTGTGTTTTCAGATCTGTACTTTCACTTGCCTTTGTGCTTTTTAGCTTTAGCAATAGTCAAAAGCAGGAAATTCTGGAAATCCTACATATAAAAGAGTTTTGCTAAAATTTTGGTCTCGGTTCTCAAGACTCAGGATCCATCACCAGTGAGATTTTAAAGGGCTCCAGACTCCTTTAGGCAGGGTATTTTTGGTGACCTTCCATTGTATTTAGAATGTTAAGTAATAAATATTAATCATACAGGAGTGTATATCTACATTGGCAAGGCAGCATTTCTGAAAAGAATCTAAGTGACAAGACAGACATCACAGATTCACAATAACTTTGTTCATAAATTTTTTGCAAGATGTAAAGAAAGACATAGTGCAGAGGGAGAAGAAGCCAACAATGTGGATTTAATCATCTACATTTCAGAAATGCAGACCAAATGTCTGTAAAGATGTCCATTTCATCCAAACATTTCTTAGATATTTATTTCAAAGCTCCCTGTTCAGTCAATCCAACACTCCATTCATATTGGGACTAATATTGATTTTTCTTCTATTGGCAGTGGTATGGGAGTGCTGGAGGATCCTATACATTAGTTACTCTTATTTTCTGTTAAGACTGTTTGAATTGCCCAGAGGTCATCTTGCTGCACAGGTAGGACCAAAGGAGTATCTGATTCAAGACTCTGACAAATGTTTTTTTCCAATTATATAATGATATTGCTTAATGAGGTCTAGTGTGGAATATAGAGCTACAGGTTACTCCTATGTTTGCATCAGCTGAAAAGCCACTGCCATGGAGGAATGACAGTCTGTGTCACAGAGAAACTAGATATCTTTTTTTCCTACAAGAAAGTTCAGCTGAATTGCACATAGCAACTTATTTTGAATATGCATTTATTTTATTTTAACCCCCAGCCCCCTTTCCCCCTCCTTCATCTCTGCTCAAAGCCAAATCCAGTTTAGCCATAACCACTCTGCCATTTGTTTCAGTGCTAAGCAGCAGGGTGCTCATGAATGGGCACACAGGGAAGTGTGTTTTGTCCATCTTGTGGGATGAAGTGCAAAGGCCACAGCTTGCAGCACTGCTCCCACCACTGTGCCAGCAGCAAAGATGAGAAGCAGGAGAGCTCCCTTTCTTCATGGACCAAATTTGTCTAATTATCTGAGTTTAGGGTATTGCAAAAATTTAGGCAGTGGAAATCCTGCTTTTGTAAAACCCCAGGAGCACATGGAAACATTCACTTTTTAAAATGAATTGGTATTTTAAAGAAAAAAAACAACAAACTCAAACCCTCGTGTCCTCTGTGTGTATTCTCTTAAGCATCAGGAAGTTTGTACTTACTATTCTGCTACGTATAGTAATTATTCTTTAATTGCTTTTGATATTAAGAAATATTTTTTCCAGTAAGATTTTGTTCTTCTGCTCAATCTTTCATCTCTTCATTAATTCTGATGTCTGTGATGACCTAGTAATTGCAGAGGAGGCAGGAAAGCTGTGAAGCTTGTACATGTTGAGAAGCTGAAGGAGGTAATGATTTTTTATTTTTTTTTTAGAAAACAGTATTAAAACCATTATTTTTATTTAATGTACATTTTCTTCTGGGATACTGTAAGCAAGAGTGATGGACTATTTAGTCTGGACTGGGATTTTCAGCACATACCCAAGCAAGCCACCATGTTTAAGGTGGCTTTGCTTAGGAATTTCCCCTGGATACATGGAGATGTTCCCTCTGAGTCACAAAAGTTCCAGTTTTCTTGGTCAGGAGGGATCTGCTGGTTTGTATTGGCACCAAACTATGACAACCCACTAACTAGCCAGTGATAAAGGGTGTCTGTTCCCTTCTTTTTCCTTCTAGCTCACATGCAGGGAAAGCAGAGAACATTAATCTGTTTTATTTCCTTGCCCCATATCCCAAACAAGACTCCAGTCCTAGGAAAACACAGAAACCCTATCCAAGGCAGGTATTCAAAGCTTGATCAGTCCATGTTTTAACACCTAAAGGTCTGAAAAGCCCA